ATTTACAACACTGGCTTCTCAAAGAGACCATCAGTTTGCAGCTCTATATGGATCTAATAAAATGTGTGAATAGTTTTTACTGCTCCACTCAATTCTGCAGTTCCTAAAAGTCCTCTGGGACATCATTCTCCATGTGCTTCTGGTTCTGTCCATTTCATTTTTTTATTTCCTCTAGCGAAAAAAAAAGTACTCACTGCTTTTCACTAAAGAACAAACAGATTTTTATCCCTCATCTCAGTTATAAACTGATGTAAGCTTTCATGAATCAATCTTGAGATGAAGATTTGATTGCTCCTTTGGGGATCAAACATTCAGAAGGGACACTGGTCTCTGTTTCTTACCTCTCTTATTAACAGTCTCAACAGTGAGCTCAAATCTCAGCAAAGCTTAACATTAGCATGCACTACCCGTGATAAGACTTGCAGTTATAGGTACAAACACTGACTAGAGCTGCCACAACTGAATGTGAATGCTTATTTTGATTTCTTGATGCTACCCCCAAATCAAATAACTTTTGTTGGGTAACTACAGGATGCCCAGCTGAGTCAATGAACGTATTTCAGACAGCTGCATCTTGTTTTATGGACCTAATGCCCCTTTTGTTGAAAAAAATGCAGGTTGTACAAAGAGAAATAAAAATAAGGAGCAAAAATAAAGAGAAAGAAAGAAAAATATCTGTTCAACAAAAAGGCATCTTTTAAACATATTTAAGAGTAAAACAGCAATATGAAATATATATGTGTGTGCATATATATATATATATATTCTTCAACTACGCTTTAGGAGAAATCACCTTTAGAAAGAAGTAACATTAAAAAAAAACTAACAATACTTTAAAAAGAAGGAAGAAAAGATCTCTCTATCTCTACCTCAAAAAAAAAAAAAAAAAAAACTTCCAGAATGCCTTGTACAAGGAATTCAGGGGCAGAAGGTAGACATGTTGCCAGTGTTGGTAAAGGGTAATTCATTGGGTATCAGAAACTAAACTTTACTTCTTCAAACCCCTACAGTTTATTTTTAAGTGAAAACTAGTTAAACCAAGATTATCATCCCATTCAAAAATAAGTTTCATTTTATTCTTATCAATTCTGTCAAAAACACCTAGGCAAGGGAGAGGCCTTGCAGACAAGCACGAGGTTCTCAGTTCCAATCCCCAACCACCACATAAAAATTAGAACATAGCTTCACATACTTATGTCCTCAACAGCAGGTTGACGGAGACAGCTTGTAGGAGCTTGTTAGCCATTCCCAACGGGACCCCTAAATCTAAAGGCTGTCTGATTCAATTCGCAAAGCACTGGTTTCACTGGGTCAAGTGTGCTTCCTAGAAGCTCGTGAGTTGCTAAGTGATAAAACACCCAGTTCACTGACCAGCACAAGATTTACAGAGGCAACACCACCACCTACCTAATTATAACAAATTTATCTATAGGTGCCGTGTAAGGGTTAAATAACAGCAAATAACCATAAATGGATTTTTCAAAAGCAGCCAAAATTCCTCTAAGCTCAAAGCAGACTTTAACCTAAGGGCAATGATGCCACCATTCAAAGGAAACACAGTACTTGGCAGACAGAGAGAAAGGAAGTTAAGTGTCAGTTGGCTGAGTATGAAAGAAACATACACAATCAGAGAATTAGGAGGCAGCGGCTTGGCAGACATGCAGAAGAAAACCCTTTTTCAAATGTGCTGGTGTCCAGGCAATCATCTTTGAAGACACTGATTTTCCCAGAACAATGATCAACCTTAAGGTGCCATCTTCTCTGTTCTCCGTGATTTATTTTTTATTCAATAATGCCTAGTCAGCCTTTTAGAAATGTGGATTTTCCAGGTAGCAGAATAAATGGCAACATATTGGAAAATTAAGTTCAGGAAAACAGATTCACTGCTCACTTTTCTTCACAGCTTTCTTACCCATATGTGAACTCTTGGACAAAATGAATATATGAGGCTGCTGGAAACTACTTTACCAAATGCTTTTTAATAATACATGTAAATCTGCTTTGGCATAATTATTTGAATAATTAAGTACAGATCAACTTTGAGCCTTTATATTCATTTCCAGGTTTGTTATAAAACAGCCATAAAGTTAGAATAAAATTGAATACATAACTGAAATTCTACTCTTAATTTAGCACTTCTATCATCCTTCAGAAAGAAAATTTTCTGTCAAAAGTTTATATATTTGTTAATCTCTCCATTGTGTTTATTCAACCTGTTAATACTACTAGTTTATTTTTAATATTTGTTGCAGTTGAAATCAGGGACCATGTCTCTCTTTCAGAAGACATTAAATTAAGAATACTAAATTACAGCTGTAGGTTTGGCAAAGCACTCTGAAGTCTAAATTAATAAAGTGCTAACTGAATTAATAGTATAAAAGAAACTTATACTGATAATTTGAAATATTAATGTGCATACTTAACAGATCAAACATTTTACATTAATCAAAGAGACAATATGAAGGTGGTTAGCAAAAGCATTTTCCTATCGGTAAAATTTTCAATTCATGTAATTCCTGATTTTTCTTTTACAAGCATAAAGGCATGCTTTTCTCCTTGCATTCCTAAGCAACAAAAACTAACGTGTTCTTCAGATAAGATGGCTAACCACATCTTTAGAAAACAGAACACTGGGAAAAATATGCTTTCCCAGAGTTTAGTTAAGTAAGCAGATGGTAAAGGAGTAGGATAGCCATCTGGTTTCTTATCCCCAGACCTTTATAGTCTAACAGACCTCAGGTGTTTGCAGTCCATGAATGCTACAGATGGGAGGTAACAACTATACCTTCAATGATAAGTAATCTGGTATTTAAAAAAAAATTAAGACTATTTTTTTTTCAATTTCAACCTTGATTTAGATATAGGTGAATTTTATTAAAAATAAATCCTTCATTAAATGTTTTATCTTTTTTCATTTTGTATATGAAAATTTCTCTCATTACCTAATTCTTTTCTTTAATGTAAACACTGTTAGACTTACATGGGGATTTCAAAAGCAGATGAATAACACTAATGAGATCAAATTATTTTCTGACCCTGAAGGCCAAAAGGGAACTGTTTATTTGATCTGGGCTAAAGGTCAAATACTGAGCTCTCCATGAGACCCTGGCAGAGATGCTTAGGATATACAGAAAGCAGAGGTATGCCCTATCCTTTGCAGCCTGGTCTGTGGCATCATTACTTTCGGTGCTTAGTTCAGAGGAGCTTACCAACAAAGTTTGAAAACTACATAAGAATTGTAAGACCCAAGCTTCAATAGGCGTGAGAAGGCAGAGGGAGGGTACCAAGGAAAGGAATCTGGCCTCTCTGTGCCATTTAGCAGGAGTCGCTAAGGGAAGAACCAGAGCAGAAAGCCAGGATCAACCTGCTTTCAGCAACAGTTACACAGATCCATCACCTCCAGGGAAGTCTAATACAATTCAAAAATGGTCAATGGGGTGTGATAAAAGACCTGGGATTAAGTGGTACAGCAAGTAAAAACGGGTAGGATGGATCAGTTTGGTCACAACCACAGGGATGGCGGTAAGAAGTAGAGGCAAGAAGGCAGAACTCAAGCTTCAGTGCTGATGAAGTAGGAAAGTCAAGGCATTTATTATACTTGCTTTAAAAAAGAAAAAAAAAATGTATTCTTTTTCTAGAACAAACCAATCCTAAGCAACGAAAGGGAAGTCCAATGTATGACCTGCATGTCATGGTCATGAGACACAACTAAGCAGGTTGCTGTGATGCAAATAGGGACCTAAAGCCCAGTTAGGTCTACAAATTCCAGCTGCTGACACACAGCAGGACAATGGCAGCTATTCTTCATCTTAATTGGGAGACGTAATTTTCAAGAGTGAAGTTCAAGCTTACATTATTTATTTGCTTGTGTTTTAACACAGCCACCTACTAGCAGAACTACTTTCAATACTCAATCATTTAGTGAAATGATGGTTGCGGAGCAGAGGACTCATATATGAGGGCATACTGCATTTACAACGTTCCTCTCTATATTCAATAAACAACTGTTAGCTATGTAAGTACTAGCAGCCCTAGTAGTTTAAACCGTGGTACCCCTCCGCGATTCTCAGAATGCTGATGCGTAAGTAGTGCCTGACAGCGGTAAGACATTGATGCTGTCAGCTAAAGTTACCGACCACTAAATACTACTCATATCACAAGATCAAGAACAACTCTGGATATTAAAGTTGGAATGAACTGTATAAAAATGTAAGATACCAGGATAATTACTAAGGAAATGAAAAATGAGTGACGGACATAAATGGAGAGACTGGCAAGTACACCTGGAGTCACGCTCAAGGGTTTAGAACTTTCTTGAGGCAAACAACAGTCAAGTTTAAATCACTGCAGTGGCAAAAAAACCCTTTGCGTGTCACTATCTCAACTCGAATTGGGGAAGAGAAATTTGTACAAAACATTCCCATTTCTCTGCACACACTGTCTCAGAAGTTCACAGCTAACATTTTCATTTATTGTAAGTGAGCTCTGTATTGTCCCTTTGTTTTTGGAGAAAAGCCAATGCTGAGCAAGCATCCACAGCCATCCTGACCTAACTCCTTTAAGTGAATAAAAGGTTAAGTTTTGCTAGGCCAAAATTTATCAAGCTCATTTGACTACCATCCCAATAGAGTCCCTGAGACAAGTGAGCACACTAGCCAAAGGCCGGCAGAAATAACTTCCATACTTTCCTTACTGCTACTGCTCTCTCATTCCTATTTCAAACTCACATTTTAAACTCATGTGAGAAATTTGGCTAACACCACCTGATCTCTATGTAGCATTAACCACATGTCCCTTTAGCATACAAACAATACAACTCATTTACATGATTTTTATCAGCTTTAAAATTGTCCTCATTTGCATGTGGGGCCCACCTACCAGATTCCCCGAGAAGAAAGACTTGTGCCTTTTGCACTGAACTCTAGCTTACTACTTTTCTCCCAGGGTATCAGCAGCTGTACTCTGAACAGTAGTCACTATATAAATGCTGATTGACTTACTACAGTGGAACAATTCGCCTCTGGTATTTCTCAATATCCCAGGGAATCCTTGACATCTATAACATGCTGGAGATGGTATCATCTGCTAGAGGCTTGGGGGTCTTCCTTAGGGTGCCTGGGACAAGAAAAACAGAGAAAGACCAGAGACAGTCAGGAGAAACACAGAGGGGAAACACAAAGATAATCAGAGGATAGACATACAGAACTGAGAGTTAGCCAGAGTTGCAGGGATTAAGCAGCCAAGAAAGTCAGAGACAGAGAAGTCTGCAATCATAACTTGGGGTTTGGTTAGGAGTCCACATTTATGGTACTATTTATGAAGTGGTGGTGCCCTTGTCATATTAAACAAGCAATACAATCAACTGTTTAAAAGCAACTGTTGAGGTTTCCCTGATCATGTACCTTTACCCATCAACATTCATCTTCACCAGGTCCACACACGATGCTCAAAGCAACCTGGCCTGACAAGAAAATACCATTTTTCCAATTTTGAATATGAAAATCAGAGGTAATGTGATTTGCCCAAGGTCACAAACAAATGAAAAACTAGAGCGCTGAATCAGACTCCAAAATTCAGTATTTTTCCTGATATCCTGTGCTGTTCCTATTAGAAAAGTATATCATATAAACACAAATTTTTATTAAATAAAATTCAAATTCTACTTTAAGGTAATTTTTTCTATCCTATAGGACAATAACAAGGTATGTTACAAGAATATTTTTAAATATATCAGAAAAAACAGATAGAAAATTGAGAACAGAAATAAAATTGAGTGAAGTCACCAGAAAAAATATAAAAATTTTAGGCCGGGTCGTGGTGGTACACTTCTATAACCCAGCACCTAGGAAGCAGAGATAGATGGCTGTCTGAATTCAAGGCCATCCTGGTCTATAGAGTAAGGTTCAGGACAGTCAGAGCTACACAGAGAAACCCCGTCTAGATAGATAGATAGATAGATAGATAGATAGATAGATAGATAGATAGACAAGATTTTAGAAAGAGTTAGAATTAATTCATCTGCTTTTACCACTTTGACATTTCAAGGTCCTAATTAATGATCCAACATATTTGAGCTGATCAGGAAAATGAAAACATACCAAACTTCAGTGAATTCTTAGAGACAATGATAAAGAATCGTCTCATAGTTGCACCTAACCATCTACATACACTACAGTCCTATTTCACGACACTCCATGTACAAACGACCACACTCTTCGTAACCATCAGTGTTTGTAGGTCCTCTTGAGCAATACTAACACTCAAATAACCATCACCTTTGAGAAGCAGTCACTGCAATAGCCAGAAAAGCTCCTTCTGCACAGTGGGAAACATGTCATTGAATTTTACAAGACAACAAGAATACAAAAAAATAAAAAAGAAACTTCTATCCAGTTGTGTATCGATTTATCTTTCTATCAGGTTCAGCAATTTTTAAAACAGAAAATTTCACATCAGGCATAAGAACAGTGCTTCTCTGCCCTCTAGTGACTGGCCAGGTTTTACTAACAACATGCTGCTTTTTCAAATTCAGTTTTCAGTAATACCTGGGATTATTTTTCAAACTACAGAGTAGCAATTTTTCATCATTTGAATACTGAGAGAAGATTCTTAATTAATATTTAATGTATGCTTTGTGGAATAAACATAATACAGGAAAGAAAGTGGGAGGCTTTACTGAAATGGACTACTTAAGTACTGAAACCTCCTTGTTTTTAAAAATACAGTTTTCTGATCCTTGTACTTTTTATGCATTTTGTTTAGGAAGACAAAATTCTAGTCAGTCCACATGTTGAAATTTTTATAAATTTCATAATCATATGAATTCTAAAATAGTTAAGCCTTTTATTTTGAAGCCTGGGGTATAAAGATAAGGGGAACTATGTAAGTCACACATAGGTGAACACTTTTTTATTAATTACAATAAGCAAAAATTTATTTAGTACAAAATACTGAGTGTAATTAACCTTAATTTTTCTAATGGTATTTTTGGAGTTTCCTGGACCTCAGCATTGTCACTAGGAAATTCTCTATCAGTTTAATCCCCGCACTTGGGAGGCAGAGGCAGGCAGATCTTTGTGAGTTCGAGGCCAGCCATCTACAGAGTGAGTTCCAGGGCAGCCAGGGCTACACAGAAAAACTCTGTCTCAAAAAACAAACAAACAAACAAAAACCCCACTTACAAAAGATGCAAAAGATGTCACCAGGCAGTGATTCAACCTAGTAGTCTGATAAGGGAACTTCTTTGTCAAAGTAAAATGATCCTCTTGATTTCTATTACTGTGTCAAGAGGAACCAATGCATTCTTAGAACATCATTTCTGTTCTCACTAAAGCCAGTGTATCAGTTTCTATGTCTACACGTTTAGGGGGATTGCCTGCGCACTGAATATAATAAGTAGATATATCAACAAGTGTAAGGATGATCTAAAGGCAGTGCTATCTGGTTAGGAGTGCAAGCCCTGCAGCCAAATAGGTAGGATTTGAATCCCAGCTCTGTGAACCAATCAGCAGCATAAACTGGAGCAGATAAACTTTCTGTGCCTTACTTCCCACATCAAAATAAGGACTAAAAAGGCACTTCAGAGCCTTATGTGGTTACTGGGATTCAGTTTCCACTGGTGTAGCATTCATCACAACTTAAATGGGTTGCAGATATTTATTCATGTCAGTAAAGATTTTAAATTAAAAATATATGAATATAGATATTTATAATTAATGATAAATAACTTGAAGTATTTAGGAGGTGATATGATGATGCCTCTAATTTATTTTCAATGCTATAAAATTTAAGTTGACTTGATGAGGGATAGACGGATACACAAATAGTGGATATACATTAAATACTATAACCCTTTGTAAAAAAATCTAGTGCTATTACAGTGTTGATCAGACACAGCAGTATAGTGCTCCACGTTCTTTTCTTTACACCCAGAATTAGTGCCTCAGTAATACCACAGAACAGGAGATCAGAAAGACTAAGAACCAGAAGGAACAGTCATCTGCAAAAAAAAAAAATATTTGCTGGACATAACAGCACAAATTAATGACAGCAGCTGGGACTATACGCACAAGACTTGAATACGATCAAGCCAGCCAAAAGTTCAGAAAGGGAAAGGTACAAATGGCAAATGATTACTGCTGGGGGAGAAAGAGAGTTTTCTCAGGCTCTAAGAGGCTACCCGTGCTTCCAACGATGGTTTCAAAACCATACACATAAGTGCACAAAAAGGGATTCAGTAGACATGAAACATGGGGGTGTAACTGCGGAGGGGAGTGGATGGGAGAGAATGGAAGGCAGATTTGATCAAAATACAACATATGCATGTATAAATATTAACTATTTTTAAAAAACAAAAATATGCAAAATAAAACATTAAAAACTAAATCTACATGATAAGGATGAATTTCATAACAAGATATTTATGAAATATGAACCTATATTTCATCAAGCTTATATAAAAATTGAAAATACATAAAGGTAAGACAACATGGGTACATGACTATAATCCCAGCATTTAGAAGGTTGAGGCAGCAGGAACTGCATTTTAAGTCTGAGGACAGCCTGGCTACATAGTAACTCCCTATTCCAAAACAAACAAAGCCTTCCTTAGCATGTCACTATGAGGCACACTTGCTCTTCTTGCATTTAGGAGGCAGAGGCAGGAAAATTTCAAGTTTAAGGCTTTGCTAGGTGACACAGCAAGCCCTCTCTTATAAAATGCTACGGTAACAGGAGCAACAACAACAATATATGTAACAGTATAAAGCAACTGAGTTCATCTCCATAATAAATTCCAGTGTAGTCACTGGAGAAAAGAAAGCATCAGTGCATTCTTCCAAGATGACAGAGAAGAGAAAGAAACAATGAGGCAGTGTGCTTCCACTCTGGGGTGAATGTTACCATCACACATGTAAAACTCAGCTTTCAAACAACACCAAAAAAAAAAAAACTGCAAGGTATAGTCTTTAAAAGTTAATCCCAGTTTTGTATTTTTTAGTCAAGAAGCTCAAACAAACTTAAGTGTCCTGAGTTTTTCAGTTCTTTAATATATTAAACAGGAAAAATGAATATCTACATCTAAAAGTTTACTACAGAAACTACAATGAAAAAATTATAAGCATAAAAATATATACAGCCAGGTATGTTAACATATGCCTTTAATCCTAGTACTCAGGAGGCATAGGTAGGCAGACCTCTCTGAGTTCGAGGCCAGCCTGATGACCAGCACTCCAGGACACCCAGGACTACACAGGAGACCTTGTCTCAAGTAATAACAATAACACACACATACACACACACACACACACACACACACACACACACACACGGCCAGAGAACTCAGCATATAAAGTGTAAATAAAAGTGCGATTACCACTCTTACAGACACTGTTACTACCTGGAGTGCATCTTTTATACTCTTGCCACCATCGTCTGCAGGTGAAAACAGGTGACTCCTTATCTGCCTCAGAGCCCAGAAACTGCACATGCAGGTGAAGAGTTTTCAAAAGGAATTTTATTAAGAGTAGACTTTACGTAAGGTATTACTACACTTTGTGTAAAAGAAAAGCTGGCGATGACAGGAACCCACTATTCACCTCCTTGTGATGCCAAGTATAATAATATAAGCCCTGTGGGTGAAGCATTTAGGACGCATGCTTACCGATGACATTCGAAGTCACTGCAGTGCATGTGAGGAAATGATATTAAGACCTGGATAAGCCTTGATTGAAACAGTCGAAGGCAGCATCCAAGAGAAAGATTAAAATTACCTTTACAGAAAACAGGTTCTAGTTTCCCTGAGAGTGAATTTCTAAGTACCCATCGATTATTTTATGAAGACTGGCACTCAACAGCATACGGCGCTAGCTTCTCTAGCTGATGAAAACCATTGTCTCCAAACTTCCTTATCCATAGATAACTAGCCTAAAGACTTTACTTTAGCATTTAGATTTTTCTCACTATCCATCTACTCACTTTTCTGCCTTCCCTAGTCTAGTCATATACTCTTTTTCCTGCGGTCTATGACTTTGTTTTGCTTTCCTTTCCTTTATAAACAATTAAGTCTTGCATTGTTCTGTTTTTAGATATAGTATACCCTTTTACCAGTTTTCAAA